TTCGTGAGGATCGAGATTAAGCAAAATTGAATACAATGTATTCGACCATTTCGTGAGATCATTCAAATAGAACTTCATAGTAATATTCTCGAAATATGTATTTTAGCAAAGTCAGAACTTCTTACAAATTCTATCTTGAATGATTCTGATTTCGAGGAACCAGCCCACTTTTTCCATATCACGTAGCTCATATTCCTTTGCAAAAACTTCTTTGAATTATTTTGTGATTTCTCAGGTTTCGGTGATAGATAGATTGATAATGATAATATTGTCAACATAAATTAATACGATCATATATCGGTTCACAAAGAGATATTGCTTTTCAAATATGAAATGGAAATCAAATTTGAACAATGTAATAAAAAAGACTTGCTGCCAAAGACGTGACAATTTCTATAATCCGTATAACGCTTTCTTTAGCTTTCATATCTTCTCTTTTATATAAAATCCCTTTAATAATTTCATGTATACGACTTCTTCAAGCAGAGTGTTTAGAAAGACATTTACAGCATCTTTCTGATCCATATCAAAGTTAAAGACAGCTATTAGTGTTATAATGACTCAAAATACTTTAGCAGATGTTATTATCGCAAAATTATTAACAATAATATTTTTTTCAAGATCTTCTTTTACGCAGATCCGTTCTTTCACTTTTATGAAATTGTCGTTTTTATCAAATTTGTATGTAAGAACCCATTTCAATGGAAAAACTTGTGAATCGTGAGTCTCTTTTTGATTAATGAAAATAAAGTAGTCTTTTGTTTTGAGATTTTCTACTTCGATTTGCACAATATGCAAGAATTCATTCTTAAACAGATGTTGCAATATTTTTGCATAAGAATTTGGTGAAAAAAAAACTCGTTGTGATGCCAATGTCTTCTTTCTCTTCCTGCAAACTCTATAACCATTGAAAAAGCCTTTTGAGCGATATAGAGATTGGAAATATAAAAATCGATAATCGCGTTACTATAATAGAAGTCTGGATCCTTTCAAATAGACCTTGATCTCTGCTTTGTATGCAATATATTCTCTTTCCGGGTTTCGTTATCAATAAAGCCTCTTCCTTTACATCTTCCACCCCCTGATTTCGATGAATTGTGTGAATCATGATCTTTCTTTAATTCGTGAAATTAAATTAATAATGCAAATGAAACTCATAAATTCTTTGTTTCGAATATCGAGCTCTGCAACGAATCTTATAAAAGTCCGGACAATGATTTGTTTTGTGAAAGGGCCATTGAGCTTTGCAGCGTTTGATTTAATATTTCAAATGTAAAATCTTCTAGAAATTCTTCAGAAATTGTTTCAATGCGATCACAGCTTGAATCGATTTTTTCATGAGCTTCAGTATGTGGTTTAGATATTAATTCAAATGTTGGTAGATTGTTCGATTGCGCGGGATTATCGTGATAAAAGATCTGCTTTATTTTCTGATCTTTTTGACTCCTTTTATTACTTGATTCTCGATCGATTTTATCGATTTGAACTTCTTCTGATTTTTGATTCTTTACAGTTTGTGAAAATTCTTTTATTTTAATGTGATTAGTCTCTTCATCGAAAAAGATCTCTTCGTTTTTCAATAAATTTAGCATCTCTATGGATGGCTCTGAAAACGCTTCGCTAAGCAAATCTTCAAGAAACGGTTGTGTGAGATCATAGGATTATGTTTCGTCAAATACGACATTTCTCGCTTCTTCAACACGTTGTCTTTTCAGGTTCTATATATGCCAGATATTCGAAATCACAAAGTCAAAGAGGATGCTTTTATACACGCAAGAGGCCATTTTATCATTTAATAATTGGTCTTATCTCATATATGCAACGCAGCCGATTACACGAAATATTGAAATGTCTGGCTTTTCGTTTGTAATTATCTTATATGGCATTTTCCAATTCAAGACTTTAGTAGAGATACAATTAACGATATTTGTTATTCTTTTTATGATTCACAATCAGAGATCTCGAGACAGTTTTGTCTCAATCATCATCTTCCTTTCTTTAAAATGGAGAATGGTTTCTGCACGTTTTATAGTGCCATTTTGTTTAGATGTGTCAATCACAGAATATTCGTGAATGATGCCTTCAAGTTCTTCTTTGTGCTTAACCACATTATCAAAGATTTGTTCGCGATTGCTTTTAAAAAAGATAATCTTTGTTTTAACGAGACGTTGCATCTGTCAAATAAAGATATTAAAAGCTCTTACACAGCCGTTCTTCAAGCGATAAATATAAACGTTGTGGAAGCGTGAATTTTTGTTATAAAAATGTGAAATCCACTGATTACCATTCAACGCAGGCTTCATTTGTATAAGATCAAAATGTACGTGTTAAAACAGTGCTTTAATTATCATCATAAACTGCCTCGAGATCTGTTTCAGAGTTTCGAACAATTTATATATCTCGCATTTCGGATTGTCATATTGTTTTGTTCGAGAATGATCAATTTGGACATCTTGAACAGTTTCAAATAAGTGATAAAGCGCATCTCAATTCAGATAAGTCATGCAGCGGTGCCACAAATCAATATCTTTTTTTAGAATATGAGATTTTGCTGATCTACGTGGATCATGATCAAATTAAATCATCGCGAAATCGTAATAAGTGCTTTTATTCTTTTTAATGATTTATAATCTTAATAAATGTTCTTTTATTTAGAATACAACTCTGCCGTTTTGTAAGATCGTGTTACAAATCATACTGAAGTCGTAATCGGCTTGTTTGAGTTTCTACGCGCTTAGGATATTTGTATGAAAACCTGAAACGAAGACAATGTTGATAAAAACAATCTTTTTATTCTCTTTTTCTTTTTCGCAATTTGATTATATCCTGACTTTTTCAAATCCTTGGATTTCGATAGTTGAATCGTCAGCATGAAGTTGATCTTTGTTTGATTAATTAAATTTCTCGAATCTCAATATCTCGTTACATACATGTGTGCAAGAACCGGTATCAATAATAAAGCAGTTTTTAAGCAGAACATCGAGCGAGGCACTGAATGAAAGAGCTATGATATGATATTTTTGAAATTTTTCATCATCTTGTTTTTAATTTTTTTCAATGATCGATCTAACCATTTAGACTTGTGTTGATGATCCTGCGACAAAATCTTTGATCTTTTTTATTATTTTATTATTTGCCTTCCAATTCAATAATTGTAAAATGGGATAAAACTGCTAACATTTATCCATACGATGCTTTAATCTGCATACACAATAGAGAGATCCTTCTTTCTCTGCTTTTTGAGGCTTTTGGGCATCTGCTGGTTTATCACTTTGATCGTTAAATATGACGAAATTGTGCGTTACTGCTAAATCGTTATCTCAGTCACTGTTGGCAAAATAAATGCGGAAATCGTTCAATAAAACATAATAAATAATATTGCAAATGTTGAAATAATACAGTTTCAAATACAAAAGATCTACGGCTTCAATTGATCGAAAAAAGTCCTTCTGTACATGTTTATCTTGGCTCTCGCTCATGTTGAGCCGTTTGATCGCGAGATAAATATGGTCAAAATCCTCAACTCATGCGTTGATCTTGTTTTTCCGTAATAATCTCTTAATGACTGCTTTATACTGCCATAGGATCTTTTCTTCCATCTTGTCCTCCATTAGCTCATATTGCTCTCTCAACATTTTCAATATCTCAAATTGTCGCTTCTTCTCAATCAACAATTGTACATAAATTGCAATAAAGACCTTGATCGCTTCCTTCATCTTCACAATATTATTGCGAGCATTCTTATAATCTTGAAAATCGAGTTAATATGCGCGGAAATTGGTTTTCATGAACTCTCCGAGCCTCATTGGCTTCACGGAGACTTCAAAACGTTGTATAATCAAAAAATCTTCCGGATTGAAGTGATTTCATACATCAAGCCGTTCGGCATATTCTTTGATATTGAAGATCCAATTACACCAATTATCTCAGCATTTTAAGATGACTTTAACCTTCGTGACGCTATCTAAATCAAATGAAGAAATCATATTGGTTTCAACAGCGGATCAGCTTTCCTGAATCGCTTCCTTTTGCAGGATTTCGTTGAAGTACCGTTTTTGTGTTTTGTTCAGAGCAAGAAGCTTGTATAGCTTCAATAATTGATTAAAGCGGTATGTTTTCTAGAACTGAGCCGGACTCATAACTGTGACAGAAATGGTCTTGGCAAAGAGCTAATTAATACGCCGAGTTTATATGATCATATGAAACGATTGAAGGTCTTGATTATTCTAATCTACTGCAAAAAGAAGTCATATTTATGCAATTTCAGGGGCTTCAGATATGCAATAAAAAGAGCTTGATCATATGATTCAAGCTCTATAATCGTACGATCAATATTGATCGATTGCTTAATCGGTTAAGCAAGGTGATGAAGTAATTGCTTAGTCAGTTCCGCGGCCACATTCCACTACCCCCCCTCCAGCTCCTTCCCACCACCACCATTACAATACTGCAACCGCACTTCCCACTTTCATACCATTCAGCATGGCCTGCTCTATTGCTGAGCTGACAACGTACGTTGGCTACTTTTCTCTGAGTCGTGATAAGCCAGCGAAAGGGTAGGAATGCAGCACACTGTCGTGGCACTCAAAGATTGGATGCTTGGCTGTGAGTGGCGGCAAACCCCGTGCGCCAGCATCCATGCTTCAATGAGGCAACATTATCTGAGTGATGGTTCTCATTGGTTCCGCGTCGACCAGTGTTGTCCTGCAACTGTCCCTGGTCTGTAGCCTCGCCTTGGCGCGAAAGTCAGCATGTCTGATTGGAATCCAAGCCCGCCTCATGTGACAATCCTGGGAAAGCCAACTCAGAGTGAGTCAAGCATCCCTGCAGCGAGACTGGATCGATTGTGCCCGAATCTTCTGTCGTGGGTGAGGCTTGCCAAACCGGGTGGTGGGTGGGGTATTGTCTGCTTATAAGGAAGACAAAAACCTGGTTTGGTCGGAACTCAGGTAGGTAAATTTTAATCTTGCGGAGGGTTACAAGCCTGGGAAGAGCGGAAGATGGCGGTCGCCGTTGCAGAGCAGTTTTCAGACTGCGTCTCTCAGACTCAGAAGAAAGTTGAGGAGATGAAGGTGAAGAATAAGCAACTTAAAAAAGGACGTTCCCACTCGATCACTAACTTCTGTTATCCAAGGCTTTTTCCGATCAGATTAAGAAGTTGGACAAGGAATTTCGCGACGTCTCAAACGACCTTCAGAGGGAGCGTGTTGCTGCCAGACAAACACAGGAAGAGTCGAAGTCGCTGATGCGTCAACTTGAGGAGTTGCAGGAGGCTGTCGTTCGTCTTACTCTCATTTTCAGGCCTTATCTTCACAGAATATAGGATGATGATAACAATGAATCCAGGAGCGAAGCTCGTTCGTGTTGGTTTTAATTGACGCCGACGCTGATGGCTATATTGTAAGTATTTTCTCCGCGAAAGATCAGAAAATGAGCCCTCACGTGTTTCAGTTCAAGGAAGACTACTATAAGGACATAGACGGCGGTCGGAATGCAGCTTTAGATCTTGAAGCTGCTGTTAGGGAGTATCTGAAGAGCTCACATCCAGACTTGTCGAGTATGCCGATCATGATCAAGGCATTCGCCAACGCTGATGGGCTTGCTCCATTACTGGTTAGGGCAAAACTTTTGAAGTCTCCAGAGTCGCTGACAAGTTTTGCGAAGGGGTTCTCGCAGGCCCGTGACGCATCCGATTTTGTTTTAGTCGGTAGTGGCAAGGATCGTGCGGATGAGAAGATAAAAGGTTAGCCGCACATTTCCAAACAGTAGCATATCGATTATTTACAAATGCTAACTGGAGAAAACCGACACAGGTACCTTTCAACAATTTATTACGAATCCCACCTGCCGTCATGTTGTCTTCGGAGCATGCCACGATAACGGTTATGTTCGTCTCTTGGAGAGGCATCAGAACACCCCTGCTGCAGACCGAGTGACTCTCCTTCGCTCCTTTGAGACAGGGAGAGAGTTTGCTGGTCTGATAGGCTTCCACTACATGCGGCTGGAGACGATCTTCCGGAGTGAACCTGTGGTTACTCGCAATTCGCCGCCTCCCGCACATCGAACCTTGAGTGCGGAGGAAGTCAAAGGTGGAGGAAGCCCACCCCGAGGAAACCCGTGGGTGACTCCCCGCCCCACGTTGCCCCGAAGTGTTGTTTCAAGGAAGCCCGAAGATTTGCCCCCAAACTCAGTTTACATAAACGCGGCAAATCAACGGCTTGACTCTGAGTTACCTTCTGCGTCCGCAGAAGCAGTACGTAGCTGGGAGCACAAAGTCAAAACTGCAAAAATGAGATACTGTCGGAAGTATCATTTGCAGGAGAATAGATGTACTGGCGGTTGCTGCTACTCGCATGGGCCTTTGACGCCCAGGGAGGTCTTGGTCTTCCGGCATAAAGTTAGGCAGGAGGTGTGTAATGATGGTCCGCAGTGTCGGGATGCAAGTTGTTTTTATGGGCACCATTGTTCATGCGCCAGGCCATCCTGCAAGTTTTCAGCTGCGATGCATCATGTTGATTTGTCTTCGGTTTCAATTTTTCGGTGCGCTTAGAGTGACGTTGAGTAGGAGGTATGGGGCTGGGCAGTTTGTTAGCAGTTTGCTGTTGGACCATTCTTGTCTGTGGGTGCTTATTGCACATACTTTGTAAGAGACAGCTCTTCAACAGCGCTGTCGAGGATTTCGGCTGTTTACGTCCTGCATCCATTATTATCCATCAAAATGCGAGTTATGAGTCGTGATACATGATGAATGCTTTCAAAGGTTTATTCGAGTCATTGCCGAAAATGTGCCGTGCAAGTATAGTAGTCCACGTAGCGCTCTCCAGTGGTGAGTGCTGGGCCTTTTCAGACAGCTCTTCGACCCCAGAAGTAGGCGTTTTCCTCGTACAATAGTACCTGTGTCTCACCACAGCACCGATTCTATTCTTTCGCATACGTTCCCCAAACATTATTATTTGGATTTCTTGAATTGTTCTGTGTACGGGTCCGTCAATGCTGCTGTTGGTGGTTTGTGAGACAGGCCACCCCAGCTATAAACAATTCACCGATAGGTCAGATATCGGGTGTTGGTTGCGGGGTTTCGACGGACGATGCTGTAACTGGATTGCTTGAGTTAGAAGTTGACTAGTATCATGGGATATCAAGAACACGCGCGGAAGAAAGAATTGCGTTACTATGTAGTTCTTACATCCATCAATCTGCTGCCTGCAAGCGTGGATCGTCACACAAGTTGTTTGCAGCAAGTTGCTCGGCATCCTATATTTGTACTAGGATCAATAAAGATTCGAGCAATGTACACGGAAATAAGACTCTTTTTCCAATTCAGAAACCTGATCTTGATCACCAAAACCTATTGCAGTAACAATCTCATTCACAAAACAATGAATATTAAAAAAGAAACAACAAAAATCAATCACATAATGATTTAAATCACAGCAACTCCAGCAGCAATCAATTCGACTTAAAACATTTTTATCTTTAACAATAAGCTTTTTAGAACTACATTGCAACTCGAGTCACTCTTCAATTCAACCATCTAGTTTAATATTCAAAAAAAGAAAACAAAAATAACGATTAATTTTCATAGAAGAATCCGAGATCGAATTAAAAATAACAATGTCTTTTAAAAATGTTGTGATATTAGATTAAGACCTAAATAAAATATCAATATTACTTAAATTATCAGATTTGTTGTCAAAAGTAAACAAGACATTGTTATAAATTTTATTAAAAATAAAATTGATTTTTTTGTTGCCGCATTCTTTATATCAGATCATTTCTAAAATTTCAATTATAGAATGAAAAATCTCATAACTAAAGATTTTACTAATATACAACAAAAAAATATATTAAAATTTAATCATACAATCTTTTTCAGAGATTTCGGCATAAATCCAAAAAAACAAAAAACGTTAGTAATAAACAATTATTAATTTGTTCTTATTTTGTTTAATAACTGTTAACTCTCTCTTCGCTTCTTCTTTCAGAAAATGATTGTTCAAATACATCTCGAGTTCCTTTATAAAAACTGAATAAATTATATTTTTTATATATATAATATATTGATTCATAATTTTGAAAACATTCTTAAACATATATTTCAAAACATATAAAATCTTGAAAAAATCATCCGAATAAAAAATGCTATCAATATAAAACTTTTTATTTATTATAAAATGCCATATTGAATAAAAATCAACATCATTTTCATCATTGTCTAAAGAAAAAATCGGCTTTTTTTCATAAAGATAGCCAATATCAATAATTACAATTTTAATAATGCGTTAACATTTAAAATGTTGAAATTTAAAACATCGAAATTAACTATTAAAATATAGATTTTTATACAGATTGTCAAATAGATTGTCTTTCATATTTTAAATAAATTTTTCAATCTTATAATTATCTTTATTTTTAATGAAAATCCACAAATCCCAAAATTAAAAAATCTCAAATTATTTGAAAGCTCTAAATTGCTTGAAAAACTTAAATTATTTAATAACGATTTTTAAATGAACAATTTTTTTTTACAAATAAAGAACCGATTGATTGATTTTTATAAAATTCTTTTTATAATATTCAACGCAGATATCTTGCATATAAATTAACATTTTAATTTTGTTTTTTTTTTGTTTTATAAACTTTTGTTTGTTTTTCAAAAATTTTAATCTGTATTTTTAACATGTCAATTTTTATATTATTAAAAAATGTTTCAATGAAATAGTCAAAAACAAAAATTTTAAAAAAATATTTAAAAAAAATACAAAAAGTTTTAAAATTATTATTTTTATCAATATTTTTGCGATTTAATGTGAAAAATTTAAAAATTTTTTTTGTTTACATTGATATTGTCAAAATCAAAACAAATATTTGAAATAAAAACAATCACGATAAAAATTGTTTTCAATTTTGATTAAATGTTAATAAAAATAATTTTTATAATCTTTTTTTTTATTAATTTTTTTATAATAATATTAAAAATCAAAAGCTCAACGGATTCATCACATTTTTAAAAAAATGTTATAAAATTATATTATCAATTCTGTTCGAGATTTTATTAATAAAATAATTCATTTTAAATTTTAACAGAATTCTGATAGAATTTTAATAAAATTCTAGAAGGATTCTGAAAAGGCTTGGCAATATCAAGATAATGTAAATAAATAATCAAATAAAAAATTAAATAAAAAATCAAACAAAAAATTAAATGAGATTTCAATTAATCAAATGATGATACAATTTATTAATGTAAAAAATATAAATCATTGAATGTAGATATATATTAACAAAAAATAAACTGCATGAAATGCAGTAACTGAATGTGGGCAGAAGTCTTTATTTATGATATTGTCTATTACTAACATGATTGTCAGGAATCGGGAGATTTTTGGCGGGAAGTTCTATATGGAGGGATCCTACCGGCAAGTTCATGGGAACATGCCGGAAGGTTCCTGACAAGGATATAGTTCAGGCCTCTGATGATCAGTCCGACTGATCTTGGAAACAGATAATATTTATCCGAAAAGCACCGTTGTTCCTGAATGATTGAAAATTATATCTAAAAATCAAATCTGGATTCTGATGAACTAATTCGATGATCAAAAAATCTTTTAACAATTAAAATAAAAATAAGATCAGATTGATATATATATCTTTTTATAATAAAATATGAACAAATCGCATTAGCAGTGTAATTCTTGTAATTATTAAAGATAATGATTGTATTGAATGTGAAAAATTAAACAAAAATTATTTTAAATATATGATAATGAATGTTCTTATATCTTTTTCTTTTCAATCTTTTGTAATTGATAAAAGATAACGTAATTCCCAACCGAGCGGGCCACCCCTACCGAGCGGGCCACCACTTCAATTTCTCCACAACGCTCATGAATGAAGCAATTCAACCATCAATCATGATCCCGAAAAGAAGTCAATCATCGCAAAAAATAGAGAGTCAAAAAGGGAGGATTCTATTAGCAATCTAATCAATTAAAAATCAAGAAATTCGATCAATTTGTCGCGCAGTAGAGCTTTTTCAAATTCCATGTACGACCTTTTAGGCGCGTTTTAAAGGATGTGAATATCGCGTGGAAAAACGTGCAAATTGTCATTGATTATTGTTTATTCAAAAAAATTCGCTTGTGCAATAAATATTCTCGCTAAATTTGCGTGAAATGGCTTTGAGACTTTCGCATGTACAAAAAATGGCCAATATTTTTTTAAACAAAAAAATCAATTCAGTATAAGTCTATAAGCAAGAATTGGGTTACTTTTTTCATTAAATGACATTCCAAAATAAAGATTTGTTTTATAAGGCGATATAATTATTCTCGCGTAAAATGTGAAGACTTGAAGATTATAAACGCGTGATTTAATAATTTATAGAAGATTCGAATGTAATACAATATATAAAATAAAGATATTTTTAATTTTGACAAAATCGATTTCGCAATAAGTTTAATCATTATTATTAAGATAATGACGAAAACTAATATGATTAGAAAATCTTATTTGATTTAATTAAGCAATCACGAATGAATTATTACAATCAAATGTAATAATTCAAACAATTGAGCAATTTTTATTTGCATTATCTTCAAAGAAAAGATTCATATACAAAAATGATATGAAGAATACAATATTCCGGACGATTAAAAAATTGAAGTTAATATAAATAAATAAATTATCGATAAAATCGGACTTAAATGACTTCAAAAAGTTTTTATTTTTGCAACTTTTCATTGTAT